TGAAGTTTCACAAAGTGGGTATGCAAAATTAGTGCTTCCGGCTGCTGCTGGTGATTACTTGGATGCCGTCGTCACGCATGTTGAGTGTAAGTAGTACTGATGTAAATGCTCAACAAAACTTTAAGCATTTATCTTTCAAAAAGCTACATCAGCAAATCGTCATATTTAATTTAGTTATCGAAAAACATCGAAGATTAAGCGAGCTAACTAATTTCAGTCCAGTAGTGGCAGAATTTGAAACGAAATAGTGTAATGCTCAACACATATTAGAGATCACGAAACGGCTAAAATCTTGTCAGATAGCTTTGTCCAGTAAACTGTTCAGCAGGATCATAGAAAGCTAACTACCAGAGGGTGTATGGGCCGGTAAAAGAAGCTGGAAAAGCTGCCAGATGTATAGGTTTATAAAAATGAATAGAAAATGACTGAAATAACAGCACAATTATCCCCAAGCTAGGCTTGATTAGGCTGCTTTCTAAGATATCCCCGTCCATCTCTTCATCCGGAATCCGACTCTCTTTAATGTTTCTTTAAAGCAAAATTCAATTCATCCTGTTGGTTTTGGTTAACACGAAGTGCAAAGTACCCAGCTGATACTAATAAGTGGATTAGGTTACAACCGGTGTTTTCGCTCCAGAAAGAAACAACTTCTAGAACAGAACCGCAGGAGAGTCGAGTAGTGGACTATGCTCCTGCGGTTAGAGCAGCCTAAAAAGTTGCCAAATGAAACATTCGAATCATGCAACCATAATATTCCTAGGAAATTAGGAGCTGATGCAACAGCGTGGCTAGGAATACCCCGGCAGACCATTTTTAATTCTTGTCCTATACAAGCTGGTCCAAAAAAGAAATCAGTAAACGAAGTAACAGATAAATATCAGCTGACTGATAATTTTGACGGTTGACAATTTTCCATAAAAAATACCAAGAATTACTTTCTCTTTAACTACTACTAACTTTCAAATACCAGTAACAACGGGATAATCGATTTGGGTACCTCGGTAACACAGAAAATGCACCCTAAAAACATGTCGTATGGTCTCTCAATTATTTATTTCACTTAGTGTTTTTGCAGAAATAGAATTTATACCAAATTCTTCGATCCGTTTATCCGGTTTTTTTTACAGCTTGGGACAAAATCCATGTGCAGCTTCCCAGAGGTCAGTCTGCAGTCCTTCGCATGCAAGGGCAATTGCGGGAACAGTACAGCAGCACCGAATCACTGCCAAATCCAAGTCCAGGTACTTACTATTATTTGGTAATCAGAATTACTATTTTCACGTTCGTGTTACGGCGCAAATGGGAGAAAGGGCGGTGGAACCGAATATGGTTGAAAGAAGTTAAAGAAAATTGTTTTCAATTTGAGAAGCTTATTGTGTTTTCCGGAAATCATTTACTTCGGAACCACTGTTATGTCAAAAACTCATGGATATCCAGGTTCGTTGGGAATTATGAAGTTCGAATCTCAGGATCAGCTTTACCGAGTGATCGTTATCAAGCGGGTGGATCCAGTACTGGTACTCGTAAGTTTTTCACAGAAGTGCGCCATTTATATTATTAATAAGCTAACAAATACTAATTATTACCAATTCTAAAAACTAATCTTGGAGTTAGTTTCCAGAATTAGTAATTATTAGCATTTATTAATTCCAGAATTCTAAATACTTTTCTAAATGCTTTCTATATACTAATTCTGGATATATACTAACTCTATACACTAATTCTGGAGTTAAAAACATTAATAAATACTGATTATTTACTATGTTTTAATAGATTTATAATGGCTTTTTAAGTGGTAAATATTATCAGCTATCAAATTCGTCCATGGTGCGATTTGTTCGTTTACCAAACAGGACACATACATATATTTATATTTAAACGTCATGGATTCACATATGGAAGGGAAAATGAAAAACACGAATCACAAAAGCACAAGTCACAAAAACACGGAACAAAAAAGCACGACGCCTTTGCACTAAATTAGCACAATACACTAATTTACAATTCCTTTGAACGAGTGTCCATAGAGCGAGGCATTTACTTCGTAAAATGTCTTCGAGATCGGCGCGTCTTCAGCTACCGAACGAATTCAGTTGTTATTTGAAACTTCTTTGCATTGTTATGCGTATTCAATGATCAGGAGGAGGAGGAGGTTGAGCCTGGGCGGGAAAGCGCTCACACAAACAAACAAAACACCTCTTTATCAGTAGAACCGGAAAACAAATAAAAAAAAAACAAGTCAGGGAATCACCCGGCAGCAGTTCCAAGCTATCGCCGCACCCTTTTCTGGAGCACAAAAACAATATCCGTTTCATTTCTAATCACCACATAAAGTACCATGGAGGGGGGACTCCAGTCAAAAGACGGGACATTTGCACAACACAGGGATCCGAATGCAACTGGGCAAGGCGAAGGAGGTTTAGCCACCACCTTCGTTTCCTTGCTACTCGCTCCTTCTTCCTTTTGCAAAGTGTATACAAAGGCAGATATTTCCAAAACATTGACACCAACAAAAATGGCTGGCAAAGCGGGAAGTTGAGAGCGATTTGAATCCTTTTAAGAGTAAATCGAATGACTTGTTTTCCTAAGCTGGAAAGATTCTAGATGCGAACGCTTTTTTGTCTTTAGTTAAAAAGTCTTTTTTAAATATTGGCATTTTAAGGTACGACTTGTGGACTTCGGTAACACGGAGACAGTGATGAAACATCTGATCCATCCCATGGAGAAAAGCCTCGCCAGTACACCTGGTTTGTTCTTTTCTTTTTTACTTAGAATAATCTAGATCGGAGATTCTAGCTTAACTGCGTCCAAAGTTTACATCGATCATTCGAGTAATCCTAGGAATTATGGCAATTGAATTTTGGTGTTTTTAGTTTGTTTTTCCATGAGCTGTGCATTTTTCTTTAGTCCCTAGATAGGGGTAACCGTTTTGCACAGAACTGTGGATATGGCTTAGGATAATGCTGCATCACTGGTAAAAGGACGGAACGACCCGAACAATAAGTTCGGAACGACGCGAAACATAAAAATTAGAACTAATTTTAGCGCAGGCG